CCTTCGCTCGAGTTGTGTGACATGTGGCATCGTCTTCTTGAAACCACATATTGTCCAAGTCGTGTTATTCAATAGCTGCCAAAAAGTCGGTTATCATATGACCAAAACACTCCGAATTGACAGTGACAGTAATTCTATAGTCGATTTCAAAGAAGAAGGATCCAATCAAACCTTCGGACGAAAGAGACCACAAACCAATCACTTTTTCTGGATGTAATTGCCTCACTTCAAAATTTGTTTATTGGAAGAAAATTTTGTTCGAAAAAATGTAGTCTACTGTTTTTTGCTCAAGCACCCATTCCAGTATTTGTGTGAATGGTCAGCTGGTTTCAGTTTTAGCGTGAGCTGGACTTTATATGGATTCTGGAAATACTCCATAATGTTCGGTAAGACAATTCCAAATCCTTAGAACGACGTAAAATCGAAACAATCGGTACTTCGACAACACTTTCACTTAAAACAGTGATATTTTCAGCGAAAATATGATGCACAGGCTTTAAAATATTTGTAAATTTCTTCACAGGTTTGCCAATTGCTTGGGTAGTTGGAAGATTTTATAATCCATAATATCCTCTTAAAGCACGGTCGATTAATATCTTAGTTTGACTGATGTTGAATTCCAGTCTCATACTTCTGAAATCACGAAATAGTAACCCTTTATTTTGGTACTTTTAGAAAAGGTATCACATTCTGTATATTTCGGTATGGAAGCAGTGTTGTATTTGATATAAGCAAATCGATTAATTTGTGTATGGTAAATCAAGGTATTAAAGCAAATTTGTAATCATGATTAAAGGCTGAATCAGGGTTTATTTTCTTAATCAGGCTGCATTCGCCACGATTTATCATATCAAATTTAAATCATCGTGCGGCAGGGTTTATTTTAAATCATCGAAATCATAATACTACCATGGTACCATAATACAAGGTAGGGAAGCTTCTGCCAAAAATAAAATAAATATACGCAACAAGTGATTGTGTTTATTTGAAATTTTTTGAACACAAAACAAAAAAACCCGAAAAATGAATGAAAGGTTATGATTTTTTCCCAAATTCCAAAGTAGTAATTCTTCTTTTTAATTTCAAATTGCAAACAAACATTTTTGGCGCAAATTAATAATTTTGTATGTATACTAACAAACATCAGCTGATCGGCATTTGATCATGATTAAAGGTATGTGCAAACAATTAGGGTGTATTACAGGATTTCATTAGACCTGGAGACCTCCCATTCTCGATTTTAAATTTTCAAGATTTTCAATGGGAATGAAAGATTTTCAATACCAATACTTGTTAAGGTTTGTAACTTTGCACATATATTCTAACGGAAAGAGTACATGTCTGGCTCTCGTATGAACCAGAATTATTGACTTCGCTCAAAAATTAACAAAATGGCAGACGTTTGAAAAAAGTTTTTCGTAAAGTCGGCTATTTTTGACCACAAACTGGATTAAAAAATAAGGACGATATTCACCGATTGGATTTATCCTATTTGTATATATTTATAATATATTTATTTATTTTTTTTAATTTTAAGGCTTCAACAAAGTTTATATTTTCTTCAAAGTTTTTTTTTTAACATGTAGTGAAACATTATATTACTAAACCATATGGTCTAAAAGAGGTAAATAAAACAATGAGCCAGAAATGGTTCCTTTCGTTCATCTCACAGAATAATTTCTTTGAACTAGTCCATTCGTGAACGACACAACTCTATTAACAATAACATTAAAAAAATAATTAAACAAATGGCTAAATTAGATGTACCACCCGTTAAAAAACCAAAAGCTAAGAAAAGAAAAAACTCCTGTGTGGAACATGAGGATGAGGTAGCAAATAAAAGTCTAATTTTGGAGAGTACAACTCCATCACAAGATACAGAAATCGCCACAGTCCAACATGATCAAGGTAAATAATACATACCCCATGTACATAGTACATACATATATTATAGAAAAATAAACTATTTTTAAAGCAATGGCAAAATTATTAATTATAATCATATATCTAATATTTATACACAGTGATTTCAAGGAAAACAAAGAAGCGTAAGAACAAAGATAAAGGTGCCATCAAGGAGAAACGTTCTAAATCACACAACACAGCTGTTGACAGCGACGATAATGATGAACAACACGAGGTAAATCAACATGATAATGACGAAGATGGTGGTGATGATGATGAAGATGGAACAATGCAACCCACCTTGGAACAACTAAAAGAATGTGAAAAACCAGAAAATACATTGGCCATAGTTACGGGACGTCAAAAGAAAAAACAAAAACGTCAAAAGCTTTTGGAAGCCCAAAAGGAGCATTCTATGGAGAAGGAGAAGCAGCGTAATGAAGAATATCTTAAAAAATGGAAAACATGTCGTGATGAATGGAAATTCGAAAAGCTGCGACAAATCTCAATACAACAGAGCATGTTTGATGAACAAATCTTAAATGGCGAATATTGGAATATAGCCTTAGAGTATTTGGCTGGCAGTAAAGGTGCCGCAAAGGAAAAAGTCATTAAAATGGCAAATGATGTTATCGATGAAATCGATAAACTATGTGAAGCAAAGGAAAGCGAAGAAGAACGCCAGGGATTGGTTAATTCGGTCAAATATCAAAGAGCGCGAGATTTATTACAGATATTTGATTGATGACGGACTGAGTGCGACTGACTGAGTGCGAATGACTTTAATTCAATTTAGATTCTAAATTTTTGAAGAAAAATAATACCTGAAATTAATAAAATTATAAACATTGAATAATGTTGCCACTTAAGATGTTGGTTAGTAAATATTAATTCGATGGGCATAAGAAAAATGAAGCTAAAAATATTGATTGAACAACTCACAACTACAATGGAATTAATATGGGTCCGTTTTATATCCTGCACGCCCAAAGCGCCAGAATAATTCTTCTTAAGATATCTCAAAATAATGTATTTTCTATCCGATCTAAATCAGGGTGTGCACGTTTTGCTACCATACGAAATTTGTCTAAACATATCACATAAATCCCAAGTGCCTTTGAAAAATTTGGAAATGCCCTTAAAAACATTGGACAAAATGTCGATGATAGATGCTATCCTACCACTACTTCTGTCATATTCCACACAATGGGTCAAATTGTTTTAATCCAAGCATTGTACATCGCTAAAATCTTTTCAGAAATGTATTAAGTGCAAAGCCTATTGGACCATCGTAATATTTGTATATAACTTTAATCGCTTAGGTGGAGTCTATCCGCCCACTCTTGCAATCCAAATTGCAATCCCTTAATATTTAGGTCCCTGATATATGATTTGTCCGTATTTTAAGGGAACCCCACCCATTCTCGATTTATATTTTTCAAGATTTTCAATGGGCTGGTAAATTAATACCAATGCTTGTTAAGGTTTGTAACTTTGCACATATATATTTGAAGATTTAAAAGAGAAGAAAAATAATTTACAAAAAATGTTTGTTATTGTTTTGTTGTTGTTTTTTGTAATTAAAGAAAAGTCCTTATTTTTGATGGCTGGAACATCGGAATCCGAAAATTCTAACGGTGTTAGAAAGAGTACATGCCTGTCTCTCGTATGAGCTAGGATTATTGACTTCGCTCTAAAATTAACAAAATGGCGAACCTTTGAAAAAATATTTTTGGAAAATCGTCGATTTTTGACCAAAAACAAGTTAAAAAATAAGGAATATCTTTACCGATTGGCTTTATCCTAGTTCATACGATAGCTATACACTCACAGAGAAACGTGTAAAAAATTGGAATCGATTGGGTTATAAGTTTTTGAGTTATCGTGCCCGCCATTCGCAAAAGAGAAAAACGCGTTTAAAGTTTGAGAAGCCCTTTAGCCGTCAGTTGATGCTGACACAATAAATCGGCTATATTTTCAAGAGTTCTTGAGATTTTCACTTGAAATTTTGTAGGGACACTCTTGAAATAGTGTAGATTCGAATTAAATCAAAAAATTTTGACCCCGAGAATGCGGGGGTCCCCTTAAACTGCACCAAAGCCATAGTAGGCATTCCTTAGTTATAATTTCTCCCATTCTTACTTTTTGCATAATGATACATAATGCCTCTTTATGTATAACACATTTCCGAACAAACATCATTATTATTTCTAGTTAATTGTTCACTTATACTATTTTATTCGTATATACAGGATTTAACAACTAAATTGAATACCAGCCTGGTGTTCCAGGGCGTTTCTTATTGCGATCCAAGAATTTCTTAAATCCTTGCTTTGTATCTTCCATTGCTTTTTCATCGGCCTTCTTGGCATCATCTTTCTTCTCGAACATATCGGGGAAAGTAAATTCCATTTCCTTGGGCTGTAAAAGAATCAAATCAAAATATGTAAAAAGACTCAGGAAATTGGAAAGCATTGTCAAAAAACTTACCAATGTTACATAAGCTAGTTTCATATCATCATTTTTGGTCACATATCCATAGGTGGTATCCCGCTTGGTCGATCCCAATGCAATGCGTGTTCTTACATCCATTACAGGAACTTTGTATATCTTTTCCAAATAATTTTTCACATCGTATTTGGTCATTTCCATTGATACGGAAAAGGTAACAACATTTTTGGGTTGGGGTTCACTGGGCCTAATAAGTTTCATCCAGAAATTGGGCAGGAAAACTCGCAGCTGGGGATTGCCGCGTTGATAAAGGGGGTACCAACGAGTAGACATGTTTTATGTGTATCCGTTTGTGTTTTCCCACGGAATTTTTATTAATATTGTTATAAATTAGAGGGAAAACCTCTGCAATTGTTGTTAAACTAATTTGAGAAAACTTTGTTTGCTCACAGGCGATCAGCTGTTCGCTGCATTGCTTAAAACAGTAGTAACCGGCTGGCATGCCCAACTTTGCAGCCCTGTTTTGTGCACGTGTATGAACAGCTGTTATTGTTGTCTTTCTCATTCTTTGGTTTGTTTGAAGTAAAATTTGATAGTTGTAAAATAAAATCTTAATTACTTCGATTTTTAAATAATAATAAAAAATGGGAAAGCTTAAAAAAGGCAAATCAAAAGCCCCTCGTCCAGTAAAACTGAGCCGCAAAGAAATTCGCAAACAAAAATCCGAGGAAAAGAAGCAAAACAAACGTTTATTTTTCTCCAGTAAAACGGAGGGTAAAAAGCTGGTTGCAGAAGCTAAACAACAAAAACAATTAACTAAAAACAAAAACGGTGCAAAGAAACAGAAAACCAAAAAATCCAAACCCACTGTAAATCCTGAGGATATACCATTGGAGCAACTTTTGTCGGGTGATGTTGATTCGGATAATGATGAATCTATCGATTCCGATTTTTCTGACGAGGATGTTAACGCTCGGCTACCCAATTCATTTAAAACCAAACGTTCCGCCGATGAAGAACCCAATAAGCCGCCGATTAAGAAAGCCAAACCCCAAACAACAAATCGTCCCAATATTGAAGATCAGCATCGACGTGAACTACAGAAGCAAAAGGAATTAGAGAATGCATCACGTAAACAACGTATCAAGCAATTGAAATTGGAAAATGAGGAAGAGGACAAGATCATTGCCAAGCTGGAGAAAAAACTGGGTCTGAATAAAACAAAAAATAAAAATCGTTTGGTTAGGAAAATGTTCAATGATGGTCTGGACTTTGCTTTGGAGCTGTGTCTGGACGATGAGGAGGAGGAAGAAAAGAAATTGCTCAAAGAAAAGCGAAAGGAAGAACTTAAGAAACAAAACAAAGAACCATCATGGAGTGATGAGGAGCAGGATGAGGAACGTTTCAATGCCATCTTTGGTAGTGGTGGTGAATCGGGCGAGTCAGATGGTGATGAAGGTGCTTTTGATGCAAGCGAAATGGAGGATGACGGTGATGATGATCTTGACGAAGATGAAGGCGATGAAGAATTTGATGAGGATGAGGAAGGTGATGGGGGTAGTGATGAGGAAATTGGAGACTCCGATGGTGATGACGAGGATGAAAAGAAGGAAGAAGAATGTAAGTAGTAACTCGAGTCTAGTGCAATCAAACCAAATTAAATGAATGTGAGAAACATTAAGATTAATTGTAAGGACAGAGGACCACTCAATTTTTGAAATTACTTCATGTCTTTTTTAACAAAAATATTTTAAGAAAAAATAGTATTCAATTGTAAAGTTTTCAATTATGGTCCTGATTTCTATTACATGCGAAACTAATAGTTCAAGATTAGTCTTTTCGACTTGAATCGTTATTGTTTTTCGAAGTAATGGTTATTTAAACTGGATAGAAGAACCGCTTCTTAAACTAAATAAATCGCCCATAAGAAGATTATTGTTCACATCATGCCAAACATGTTCGACGATTAGAATAATTTTCCTTCTATGGGATTACAAACAAACCAGTCACCCCAGGGCACATTTTGTTCATGTTCTCTTTGTACTACATGATTTTAGGGCCATCACATTCCATTTTTGGTAACAAAACAATGGGGGCGATGTTTTCAGAATTAGAGTTTTTTCCAATCAAAATTTTGAAAATTCGTTTGAGCATTTCTTAAAAACATCTTTGTAATTCGGAGAAGTCTGGCCTGGTTTATTTCCCCAATAACCTGTAGTGTATCTCAGTGTTTCAGATAAATTTATTATATTTTAAGAATAATTCCTCCGCGGAGAAAATGAACAGTCGTTTTTGATTTAGCCAAGCGTTTGGATATGTTATTTGTTTACCAAAAATAAATCCGAGAAGTTGAACAAATATATGTCTCAAATTAAAATACTTACCATTTTTCCTATAGTTATATATATTTTGATAAAGAAGCATTTCCAAATTCCATTATTTCATACCTTCTTTTTTTATTAACTCCATTTCAGATAAAGAAGATATTTACGGACGCAAACGTGATAAAGATGGCAATATAATTACAGAACCAGCCGCAGATGGTCCACAAAAATATATACCACCACATCAGCGAGCACTTCTAGCAGCTAAAAGCGATGATAAACAAGCCCAGATTCTTGAACGTCTGCGAAAACAATGTAAAGGTCTGCTAAATCGTCTATCAGAAGCAAATCTTCATAAGATTTCATCAGGCATTGAGGAACTGTATATGAAAAATTCCCGTTTCAATATGAACGAAACTCTAAATAAATTGTTGCAGGAAGCTCTCGTCAGCAAAGTTATGAGTAACGAACGAATGGTACAAGAACATATGGTATTACTGGCCTATTTACATGCTCATATTGGCAGTGAAATTGGTGCACATTTCCTGCAAATGTTCATTGAACAGTTTGATGCCTTCATAAAGGACATTGATAATATCCAGCAAGAAGATAAGAGGCTGAACAATGTAGTTCTCCTTCTCAGTTATATGTATGTTTTTAAAATATTTGAACATCGTTTGCTATTGGAGATTATAGATCGTCTGTCTGGTCAATTGAATGAAAAGACCATCGAATGTTTGTTGCTGATATTCCAATCGGTTGGTTTTAAGCTGAGAAAGGATGATCCTTTGGCCTTCAAACAAATGATGTTAAATGTTCAGTCCAAAATTGCTGCATCTCCCCTAGAACTTAAAGAGAATCTAAGACTTAAATTCATGGTTGATATTTTGAATGCCGTAAAGAATAATAACATCAATAAAATACCCAGATTTGATCCGGAATTACATGAAAACTTGAGGAAAAAACTAAAGGCCATGTTGAGAAATGACAAATATGTCATAACCCTCAACATAACCATGGAAGATTTGTTACGGGCTGATACTGTGGGAAAATGGTGGATTGTTGGTTCGGCGTGGACGGGCAATATTAATGAAATGGCTGCAGCACAAAAGAAACAAGAGAATGGAGATGCGAATAACAAGTCGGAAAGATTTTCAGAACAATTACTGAAGTTGGCCAAACAGCAAAAAATGAACACCGAAGAACGACGAAACATTTTCTGCATAATTATGAGTGCTGATGATTACATAGATGCATTCGAAAAGATTTTACATTTGGCGGTGAAAGATTTACGTTCCATTGCATATGTCATCATACTTTGTTGCCTGAATGAAAAGGCCGCCAATCCCTATTATGCCCATTTGGCCTTGAAGTTCTGCCACTACAATCGTAAATATCAACTGGCCTTCCAGTTTGCCTCATGGGATCGTATTAATGAAATTGATTCCTTGAATAAAATTCAAGTGCGGAACTTGGCACGTTTCCTGCAACATCTCATCTTAAATAATGGTTTACAGTTGGCGGTATTGAAAATTATTGATTTCCTACAAATTGATAAACAAAGTTTTGCTTTGATGAAGGAAATTTGTAAGGGTCTACTGTTGGCTAACGAAGAACAGGATATATATCAAGCATTTGAAAGATTAGCGAAGAATAATAAATTACGTCAATTCAAACAGAGCATAAGACTTTTCCTGCAACATTTTATGTTGAAGGAACAGAGTGCAACGTTGAAGCTGTCCGATGAGCAAATGGAACTGCTACAAAGACGTGTGGAATATGTAGATCGATTGTTGGCATATGTTGAATTGTAAATATCTATCATATATATTAGTACAATAAAAATTGTTTTTTTAAAAACAATAGAAACAAATTAGATCTTCAAATGTATTTTTTTTCTCAAATTTCGTAGGTAGATTGGGCTATTTTAAGACGGCCTTAGACAATGATATATATAGATCAAATGTATAAATTTGAGACCGACAACTACAAATATGAAGTTAAAGATCTCCTGTAATAATTCTTTTGGTAGGTATTTACAAACATAGACACATCTAAACAACATAACCGGCGTGACCAATGTCTCAAGAAAACCGAAAACTGGGACATTTTTTCCAATGGCAAATGAATAATATTTTACGGATTTCCTAAAGTGTAAAACCAAAGAAGGCGTAAAGTAGACAAATTTCCAAACATAATCTCTTTTTAGAATTACTCCCTAAGAAACATGATCCGTTTGAAAATATTCTCTTTTATCGCTATAACTCCAATATTGTTTAGTTTTTAAATAAAAATATTCCATTAATTCTTATCTAGGCAGTGCGTTATGTCTTCATCCACAATGACTATACCGTTTTTTACATTTCACTTAGCAACATATCATATAAAAAATCGAAAATATTCTTGCTAACAGATCAACAATTTAATAAAGAATGTGTATGGTCGACATTTTTACAGAAATTTTTCATTCGTTACACGTTTAAAGATTATTATTTAAAAGCTAGACATATTTAACATTTTTTATACTCCAAAGGTACAAGCTACTTATATTCTTTTTTTATCGTGTAAAGCTCACGTTAAATCTGTTTTCCAAAAGCAAGCAATTTACTTGTTTTCTTCAACAGTTTTATCTATCCAGGCCCTCAATTTGTCAGTGTCTTGTAAACCAACCATGCGGTTAACAACTTTACCGCCTTTCATAGCCATCAATACGGGTACGGCAGCAACATCATAATCCAAAGCCAATTCACTGTGTTCATCAATATCAACTTTGGCCAATTTAACAGCTCCAGCTTTTTCGCCAACAATTGACTCGATGCGCGGTGTCAACATTTTGCATGGATTACACCATCTACAATTGAGAGAAAAAAAAAAACACGATTAAAACGGAGGCTTATATAACATCATTAAAATACTGAGGATATTCACAAAACCATAAACTTACGTTGCAAAGAAATCGACAATTACAACCTTATCGCTCTTCTTGACTTTGTTTTCGAAATCCTCCAAGCTTTGTACTTTGAATATTTCATTTTTGACGGTGGTGCTGCCAAAATGTCTAGTGGCCAAACGTGTTGTGTTCAAGGATTGTCCGGCTTTTTGTACAATGCTGCGCAACATTTTTGAATTTGTTTTTATCTAAACCGAGGATGGGGAAGAGAAATGAAAATAGTATTATAAATACGATATATATTGAAATATGATGAAATATATTTGAAGAGAATATACCAAATAGTACATACTTTATCAGATTTTGTAAATATATAATACAGAGATGATAATCGTGTTTACGAATATTAAAATCACCAATCACTGAACATACACTCCCAAACAGCTGATCAAATGACATCATTCACTTAGAGTGAATGCATGGGGGGTTCGCACTTGATTGTGTGGCAATGATAATAATCCCAGCAAAATGTTAAAATAATCAAACGTGTATTTTAATAATAATAATAATTAATAAATTATGACTTTATAACATTTTTCTTAGTTCTTGTGTGAGCTGGACTTTATATGGTTGTATATGTAGGTCTAAATGAAAAGTGTGTCATAAAATCGTATTTAAATCATATTAACAACATTATCATCGCGTTTCATAAAGTTCCCTTTTAAGGTACGTTTATATTTACGAAATCCACTTGATCTCAAATGTCAATTCCATAGTATATACGTCATATATAATCCACTGGATTAACATGACGTATACGCAATGGAATTGGCATTTGAGATCGAGTGGATTTAGTAGTCTAAACGCAGCCTTATGGAATTAATCGATGTGTGCACTGATCGGCTTAAATGATTTTTCATTCTCAGATGACTTTTAATTAAGAGAAAATGGGAAAATAAATTAAAATTCTTTTGTAAACAAATACAACCTGACAGTTATTTGAAATTAACTTAAAGTCGGTGTAAATAACCTTAATTTATTTTCAGGATTTAGTAAATCCTCATCATATAAAGTGCGTATGTAAATGCGCTATAATGTGCCGTAAGACACTCCCAATTACAGAGATCGACGAGGAATCGAAACGTTCGTGCCTTCGGCAACACTTTCACTTACGGTAGCGATATTTTCATCGGAACGAATAAAACAAACTCTACAATTTTTGTTTGTAAACCATATGGTCTGTTCCAGTATTTTTTTAATAGTGAAGCTAATAAAAGGGAAACATTTCAAAATCACTTTCAGAGTACAAAATAATTTGGAAAGTTCGGGAACGCAAATCTATGCCAAAATTAGATGGCAATACTTCAAAATCAACATAACAGCCAATCAGAAGTAGGCATTACTGTTTACCATTTTTACTGGGCAAATTTCTCGTGTAAAAAGTTTACAAAGAGAAAGCCATTTTGTTTTGTGCACTCTTAAATTTGATTCAGTGTTTTACCAGTTATGTAGAAACGGTTTTCGAGTAAAAAGTTGCAAAACTTGTAAAATCAGTAGATTCCTTTAGGTTCAGGAACGGAACTATAGTCTCAACTTGAAGAACGCACGTCGATTTTTGTAGTAGGTTTTGATAATCTGTATGCTTTGTGACATGGTACAAATATGTTCTTTTCATTTGACATATTTGTAACATTTTACCAAAAATGGGAAAAATGAATGGTTCCATGCCTTGTGATATAGTTAAGCGACCCATTTTCGTCAATGCCAGGCTTTTAAATGAAAAAAAAATAAATGATTTAACATCTTAGTTTGACAGATGAATATCCCTATTTTATTATAGTTCAATGTATTACAATTTCCTCATGGTATAATAATAAAAGGTAACAGCAAGTGTTGTTGTACAACAAACGATACAACAACTACATGGAAATTTGTTGTTGTGAGTTATATTAGTGTCAACGTCATTTGACAGAAAAATGTAAACAAACATTTGTTCCCGTACTGCAAGAATCTACTATTTTTTACTACGATAACACTTTTTTCCTTTATGATATCGAAAAAAATAGTATTTTCGAATCCTCAAAATAACATTTAAAAACATGAATTAAAATCTATCAAATTTATATTTCTATCGGTTCCACATCTTTCCTATAATTGCACCTTTGTGTAACACATATGCTGGGAATTGAGAATGATTCCATGAAGAAAGATTTGCCTCCTCAAACTTTTCCAGCAGGCAGATTGAGTAAATTGAATACGGACATTTAATAAAGAGCAATTCCGAATTGTATGCGTTCCCAATTTTCCTATTGGGTGATTTTGAAAAACATAATTTGTCATATTCATATTGTCACTAGCATTACGGCTGGGGTTTGCTTTTACCTTTTATATTGTACCATGCAATTTTCTCAAAACGCCCTACGTAAATGAACGCAAGTCGTTGACAGCTTTTATTGTGTGTCTGACATAACGCCATCTACATCTCATATCGCTATTTGCGTAGTTCGATGCCAATGTCAAGTAAATTACGCAAAATAAAGAGCCCAATAAAAACAATTCCAATTATTGATTAACAAAAAATATTCAGTTATTTTCCTAATATAAAATAAAACAATTGTTTGACTTAATCCCGTAATTCGGTGTGAATGCACTCAAGCACAGATGATATGTTTGTTTTGAGAGTGCCAGTGAGAGTGACAGTTCGTGAAATAAAACAAAAACCCCAATAACTGAGAAACAAAACAGCTGCTGTCGAGCAAAATTGACGTGTTGCAATTGTTTAATTGCTGATAGCAGGCGAAGTACATATTCGAATCGAGAAAAAAATAATCTTTTTTTTTTTGGAGAAAAATAAATAAAGAATCGCGGTAAATTATTTGGAAAATTTTTGGATAGCGCATATCCATATTGGTACCAATGTTTTAAAGATCGAAATAACGACATCTGCTTCATTGCGAGTACACAATGGACGATTTATCTCAAGGCGACATTTGTCGCGTTTGTCGTTGTGAGGCATCGTCCGATCGTCCGCTGTTCTATCCATGTGTTTGCACGGGCAGCATTAAATACATCCATCAGGATTGCCTAATGCAATGGATGCGATACTCACACAAGGAATACTGTGAGCTATGTGGCCATCGATTTAGTTTCCAACCCATATACTCGCCCGACATGCCACGGGTCTTGCCGTTGCGCGACGTAGCTGGAGGATTGCTGTCGGCAATAATGAAAGCTGCCAAATCGTGGGCCCATTATTCGCTTGTGGGCTTAGCGTGGTTTGTGGTGGTGCCACTGTCGGCATATCGGACTTATCGTTATCTGTTCAGAGCCTCTTCATTTGATATGATATTGTCCTTGCCCTTCGACATTTTCTCTACGGAAAATCTGGCATCCGATGTGTTTCGTGGCTGCTTTGTAGTTACGTGTACTCTGTTGTCGTTCATTGGATTGGTGTGGCTAAGAGAACAGATATTGCTGGGAGGTGGTCCGGATTGGTTGGAGAGAGATGATGCTCCTGGAGCGGCGGCAAACAACGAGGCCGAAGATGAAGTAGAACTAAATCTACCGCCAGACGGGGGTGGAGCAAATGCTAATGCAGGAGACGAAGGTCAAGATAATGCGGCAAATGCTCACATTGAAGTTAATGGTGCGGCTGCGGAAGCCGTCGTGGAGAGAGATGTTGCTGACAACAACAATGACATTGCCGATGAAAGAGCAAATAACGCTGAGGCGCCTCCTGTAGTCGAACCTATGAACAATAATGCTCCAGCAGTGGCTGATCCGGTTGAAAACGAAGGCGATCCTCCATTGGAGTTTGGACCTCAGCTACCCCCTGCTTTGGCTGGTAATCGAAATAATAATAACAACAATGCGGCTAACGCGGCAGATAATGACAACGATGAACCCAATTGGAATCCAATGGAATGGGATCGTGCAGCCGAGGAATTGACATGGGAACGTTTGTTGGGTTTAGATGGATCTTTGGTATTTTTGGAGCATGTATTTTGGATTGTCTCCCTGAATACAATGCTTATATTTGCCTTTGCCTTTTGCCCATATTGTATTGGTCACTTTATACTAAGTTCGTTAGATCTAATGGACCCAGAAAAGCCACTCTTACATTTCCATGGATTAATTACAACTTTATTTGGCTATTGCTTCATTGGAATTATATTGGTTGTACTACATTGCTTGGCACGGGCATTCCATATGCGAAGAGTACGCAGTCTAATTGGGCTGTGCTACATTGTCGTGAAGGTCTCCCTGTTGTCTGTGGTGGAGATTGGTGTTTTGCCATTGGTGTGTGGATGGTGGTTGGATATATGTTCATTACCTTTATTTGATGCTACGTAAGTAAATAATGGTTTAAAATTTGAAATGCGTTGTTAATGAGAATCTATTTACAGTCTAAAGGATCGTAAGACCAGTTTCACAGCTGCGCCAGGAACATCTCTTTTTGTCCATTGGATGTTTGGCATGGTATTTGTTTATTATTTTGCCGCATTTATATCACTACTGCGTGAAGTTCTTCGTCCTGGTGTATTGTGGTTTTTGAGGAATTTGAATGATCCCGACTTTAGTCCCATTCAAGTGAGTTTCTTTTTTTTCGAAATATGTATGATGTATTGGTTATTAACTTTTGCTTGTATTTTAGGAAATGATACATTTACCCATTTTAAAACATGTACGTCGTTTAATATCTTCAGCTATGATATTTGGTTCAGTGGTTTTGTTAATGCTATGGATTCCTATACGTGTTCTAAAGACAATCTGGCCAACATTTTTGCCATACACCTTATCTGGCGATTCGGATGTTAATGAGTTGAGTTTACAATTGCTTTTGCTACAGGTGAGTAAATACTGTTAACTGAGTACTATCGGTAATGGTCAAAGGTATTATATTAAAATCAAATATGAAAAGTACTTTTGGAAGTCTAGTAAAATAAATTACTATTTCGTTTTCTCGAGATAATGCTGAAATATTTCGCAGACAAATTGCAATCAAGAATAGCATGTTATCACAATATTTTTGTTGTTGTTACAAATTGTCGAAGCGTCCAGCTTATCAAGTAAATGATGACTCTTACATTATTTTAATAATTTTAATCTGATTCAACTTTCTCTTTCATAAAACCTGTTTTGATGACTTTTTATAATTCCATGACCTAGCTTTCAATATGTTATCTCTGTATTATAATAATAATTTAATGTTTACCTTAACTGAATATTGCAAATTGTTAAACTCTTTATTTTACAGATTGTTCTCCCCGGCTTCTTTGAACAATCCCATACACGCGTCTGGCTTAAAAAACTCCTGAGAATTTGGTGTATTTGTGTTTCTTGGGTATTAGGCATTCGCAGTTATTTACTTGGAGCGGATCCCGAGCCTGCGGATGCCGCAAATGTCAACAACGATGCCAATAATTTGGAACAACAGCCAGCTAATGAAGTTGTTGCCAACGATGGACCAAATGCTAATGCTAATGAGGAGGTAAACAATGATGGCGAAGAACATAATCTGATTGAAGAACCAGCACCTGTTCAGCCACCCATACAAGCGCAACCTCCTCCACCACCTCCACCGCCGCCACCACAAGCCGAAAGAAATTTGGCTGCAGTTCATCATGCTATCATACACCGTGACGTACCTGTTGCGTTCCAACCTTACGACAAACCAACAGTGTTTCCTCTAAGACTGTGCGGACTGCTATTCTTTATGTGCGTTTCGTTGGTGATATCATCACTGGTAACACTCACTGTGCCCGTATGGATAGGACGACAGGTAATGTCATTATGGTCTGTGGGTAGCATAACAACACAAGTAGCCGTCCAAGGTGCTGAGGTGACACCACGTCCACATGAACTCTATACTGCCGCTTTGGGTACTTATCTTTGTTGGATGCTGACAAGAGGAATAGCCATTGCTGTCACTCTGCTACCTCAGGGTCGTGCTGCTGTTATGGATAAAATCAAGCAATGGCTTAAGGTGGGAGCTTCGTATGCCCTGCCCGTATTGATAATTGTTCTAATGTTGGGTGTTATACCGCTCCTGTTCGGCATGCTTTTGGAATTGGTGGTGGTGATACCGGTACGTGTTGGTGTTCTACAAACTCCCATCTACTTTATATGGCAAGATTGGGCTTTGGGTGTTCTATATACAAAAATTGCCATAGCATTGACGCTGATGGGGCCGGATTGGCACTTGAAACGGGCCCTAGAGCGAGCCTATCGCGATGGTTTACGGGATATTGATCTGAAGTTCTTAATCACTGAGCTGGCTATGCCTGTCATAACTTGTTTCGGCCTAGCTCTTGCCATACCCTACGTATTGGCCCACTCAATTTTACCAATATTCTTCACTGACCCCTGGGTACAATTGGAAATAGCTCATTTCGTATATCCGGTATTCTTTTCGGTGATTGGTGCCATTGCATTAATATATTTCCAAATAAGACAATTCAAAAAACTCTATGTAGCAATTAAGGTGGACAAATATTTAGTTGGACAGCGTTTGGTAAATTACGAACATCGTAAGAAACAGCAAGAGGCAGCCGAGGAAAGAGCTCGACAGAAAGAAGAGGAAGAGCAGGAAAACGTGCCCATAGCCAATATTGTAGAGCAGGCTGAGTTGGAAAGAAGACGACGACAAGAAGTTGAAAGGCAACAGTTGGTACAGGATTTAGTGAGAGATGATCTATTATAAATTCAGTGTATGCGTGTCAGACATTCGAAGTAATTGTCGACTAGGAAATTTTTCTGAAATGTAGTTTAAAATGTAACCGTTAACAAAATCTTAAAAAAAAAACTGCGTTAAGGCTGATGATGTGTTATGGGTTCGATGTTCGATTCCTTTCCCCGGATCCAGTATATGATGTGTTATTAAATTCGAAATAACTGAAATTTAAATTTTTTAATATTAATGTGTTAATGATGATATGTATAACCATTTGCAAACAACAAACTGTTGAACATGTGAATATGAATTATTTGGAGCCATTTTGGCACACTTATAAGCATCTTTCAACAGTGCAAAATAAATACATATATATGTATGAATTTGTGTACCCCGCCCATATGCACGTATAACAAAAACAAATAGACAAACAAAAAATAACAACGGAAATATTTCAAAAAAGGTATTTAGCATTAAAGAACTTCATAACTAAATCTAAAAATTATTGAATTCGCAACCGCACGTGAATGTAAGCATCATTCTCTAACAGATGAAGACTTGTCACGAGTTTTTTTTATTCCATACATGAGTTTCCATTTTCAAAACAGGCTTTGTTTGATACATTTTATCCTTCATGTGTATTATTCTCCTCTTCCGTCACACATACTGAACTATTTACTTTTTGTTGATAAATATATAGAGATACAATATGGATTTTTTAAATTATAATTTAAAATGAAATAAAACCTCTTTTGGAAATCGCATACGGTTTTAGTTTTGTTTTAAGGTGATTGTTTTTGTTTATTATTTTTACTTCACAATTCTAGTAAATTAAAAACAAATTTTATTTAAAATATAATCTGTAATTTTAAGTTTCATCTCAAAATCATCAAAGCGCATACTTTCTTCATTTACCCTAATTAATGAACGAACCTTGTATTGTATATTTGTTCTTTTCCTTATCGAAATTGACATACAGATTTTATTTAAATATTAATTTTTTAAGCTTTTAGAATAAACATAAAGAAAATAAAATATTAATATTAAATGATGATGTGATTTTTTTCTTTTGGAATATTATAGAAAATAAAAGATGAAATAAAAAAACAACAACAACAAAAACTAAGTTATATGTATATTGAAAGATTTCTTATGTTATGAGGCATCAATGTTTTCTATAACAACAACTATTCATGATATTATTTATTTCTCAAAACCTCTTATCGAAAAACAAAGATCGAAATGAAGTCTTATTGAAGACCAATATTAATTTTGAATACTATAAGTTGTTCTTACAGAATACCAAAAGATCTTACAAAAGGTCTTTGTAGAAGGCTAATATATTGTCTTATAGAAATCTAAAAGGTCCTCCTATCGAACTAATTTCTTGACATTAAGGTCAGAAGGCCCCGATATATCCATGCGATGGCCAGTCTTTAAGTTCTTGTTATTTCTCTACTCTTGCATTCATGTTTCTGATTTCCAAAAAAGGCTCTGTATGTTGCCAGATGTGTTTGATAGTTTTATCTGAATGTGAAATTAAACAATTACATAGAAAATAAATAAAAATATTACAATGGTTACACGTGCCTATGAAATAACAGTTGATTGGAAAAATGTTCATTTCGGCAAACGCTGTGAGATGTTATTGTCTTTAATGGAGTTTCTATTCAATGTTGGGGGGTTGGAATGCTGTGACATATACTATGCGACGGTTTATCAACACATAATTAACATCGTTTGGTTGTGCTTGTCCAGTCACAATGGGGAGCTACAGTTATATCGACCCATGGGAGCTATGTCTGTGCGGACATGACTAGATCGACATATACATTTATTCTGATCGGGGATATATATATACACTTTGAAGAGCGGACAGAATCTATTTTGAACGCTTATTAATTGCAAAAGGTAGGTCGATAATTTATCATATCGTCCACATATATTGGTAACGAGCATTATATAGTATTTATGAATATAGTTCATGATATGGTATATTATCGTAATTTGAATAAGTTGCAGACGATACAGATAACAAACGCATTCAAGTAACACGAAACATTCTATATACAAAATTTGCCATATTTTTGACATTAATGAGTCGTGACTGGCCCTTGAAACGGGCCCTAGAGCGAGCCTAACGCGTTGGTTTACGATTTATTGGTTTATTGATTTAAAGTTCTTAATCACTGAGCTGGATATGCCTGTAAGAACTTGTTTCGGCCTAGCTCTTGCCACCTACCATACATATTGGCCCACTCAATTTTACCAATTTTACCACTGACCCCTGGGTACAATTGGAAATAACTCATTTCGTATATCCGGTATTCTTTTCGGTGATTGGTGCCACAGCATTAGTATATTTCCAAATAAGACAATTCAAAATACTGTATGTAGCAATTATGGTGGACAAATATTTAGTTGGACAGCGTTTGGCAAATATAGTTCATGTTAGGATCTATTGTCGTAATTTCAATAAGTTACAGACGAAGGGTATACAGATAACAAACGCATCCAAATAACGCGAAACATTACAATCATTTTTTTTTGTCGCAATGGTACATATTTATGCATGTACGCACGTACATACATATGTACTTAAATGTTTCACCAAACGCTTCTTTGCGTTACTGTGTGTCGTTACTCGAATAGCAAATGGTTTCTATATCACGTAATATATTAAATTTTTTCGAGTCAGTGATTATTTGAAAGTGTTCAAACTCTGAATTTATTGACTATAAATATGACCAGAGGAGATATAATGGAATACTCGTTACACTCTTGTTCTAGAGTAGATGCACGAATAGTGGGTGAGAAGATCGGAAGATATTTTTTACTCACTAAGAATAAACCCTCAATATTTGGCAATAGGTGAAACATTGTCGAAGTTATTATACAACTGTGGTGAAGCTTAACACCGCTTAATTTTGGCACAAATAGATCTATGAAAAAAAATTGTCCTTTGGAAAATAAAAAACGCAATTTGTCTCAAAATATTTGAAAGCTTTCAAGATAATACAAAATAATTTTATTAAAAATGTTTTTCTAATTTCGCTTTGGTATTTTTTTTATTTCAAATATATCGGCATAATATTCGACGGTACCAATATAGTCCAGGGGATATCCTTCGTAGAAAATAAAAACTGCCTTATATGAGCCCCGTGGAAAAATTGCCGTTACGGAATTTCCTTCAATATACAGATTTTTTGCCATTAAGACACCCTAAAATAAAATGATTGGTAACGAAAAATTTCTACTACAATATTTCACTTACCCGAAATGGACAGGAATGATTAACGTTGGTATATTGCGTTAATACATCCATCATTACTTTCATATAGGCTCCGAAACGTTTTCTATTCAAATACCAGCAAATGTTTTGGGTAAAATTTACCAAAAATGGATTGTAGGTGTTGACATCATTGCGAGCATAGAGACCAACATTGACCTATTAAGAAATAATGAATAAAAATTTAATGTGTTTTCATCAGGATTTTTTTTTATAAATTTGTACTTACAGAAAAATTATGTAATTGTGTCTTTATGTATGTCTCCATCATGGCTACACTTTTGTGGCGATTAACCGCCTTCAGACGGCATGTATAATTTAGAAAATAATTTGGACTTGGGGCATATACCAGGTTTGTTGCTTTGATAATATTTTCTGCATAGATAGACTAGAACAAGTATTGATTTAAGTTTTTTTATTATACCCTTCACCACACTGTGGTACAGGGTATTATGTCTTTGTGCATATGTTTGTAACAGACAAAAATAATCCAGATAGACCCATGGTTCCTTTTGAGAATATGCATAGAATCACTTTTTAAATCGATTTATGCATGCCCGTCTGTCCGATCGTCAGTCCATGTATTTTTGTTAACAAAGTACAGGTCGCATTTATGATCCGATTTGGATGAAATTTGACACAGTTCACTTATTTGGCCCAAGGACGAACCCTATTGAAATTGGAGAAAATCGGTTCAGATTTAGATATAGCTCCCATATATATTTTCGTCCGATTTAATGTAAATGGTGCAACAAAGTCCCTATATATCATTCGATTTACACGAAATTTTGTATAGCCTACTGAATTAAGTCTAGAATAATGTGCGTTAAGTTTCGTAAAAATTGGTTCCGATTTAGGTATAGCTCCCATATATATATGCGTCCGATTTTATGTAAATGGTGCACCAAAGTCCTTGAAAATCATTCGATTTGCACGAATTTGGGCACAACGTGCTGCTTTAAGTCTAAAATGACGTGTGCTAAGTTTCGTAAAAATCGGTTCAGATTTAGATATGGTGCACCAAAGTTCCTGAAAATCTTTCGATTTGCACCAATTTTGGTAAAGCGTACTGAATTAAGTCTAGAATGATGAGTGTTAAGTTTCGTGAAAATCGGCTCAAATTTAGATATAGCTCCCATATATAGTTTCGCCCGATTTAATGTAAATGGTGCACCAAACTCCTAATGTTTGTTCGATTAACACTAAATTTTGCACAACCTATCAAATGACGTTATTGCGGTTTGTTGAAATTGGTGCAGATGCAGCCATAGCCTTCATATGTATTTCGAACGGGTGTCTGATTGAAATTAAATTTTTAACAAAGCGGCGTACCGAATAGCGTGTATCAATTTTACTATAAATCGTTGTCCATAAATTGGTCCCATGGTACGCAGACGATTTTAAATCTGCCCGAATGAAATTAAATGTATCATAGGTTGCAGAAAGACATGAGTATGTTCCTTTGAGGGAACATTGACATGCAATTGTAAGGATACATTTGTACAATATACCCAAAGTGGTGAAGGGTATCATATAGTCGGCCCAGTCCGACTTTACTACCTTCCTTACAGGTTTAAATTGTGAAATAATTTTATTTTCCAGAAGACTTACATCAATCGCTATTAAGGCGAATACAAAAATTAATAATTTTCCACAGCACATTGCACTGAATCTAGAAAAAAGATAGATAGAAAGATGAGTATTAGCTTAGCATACTTCCAGATCCTTACGTTTTAATATTAGGAATCTAAAGTAATTTTGAAGACAGCGAGTTTTCCAATTGCAAAGTTATTAAAATAGTTTGTTTCGTACATTCATAGCTATTCCG